AGCGGTTCAATCTGGAATAGGTTTAATCTGGGATCTGAAGGCTGTTCCTTCTGAAACAGGATCTTGTAATTCTTAGATGACCAGAATGGGTCATGCATGAATTTTAGGCTTGAAAACATTCATTATAATAATTTCACACAGTGGTGCCAAATGTGTTGGGCCCGCATGGTACAGGGCAGGTCTGCAGGCCAGATCCAGCATATGGGGTCAGTCTGTAGGCCTGGTCCATGTGGCCTGCAGGGTGTCCCAAAAGCCTAGAAATGTAGTGGCAGGACAAGAGGTGGCTATGTTAATTATCAGGGCTCCAGGAAGTGCAGCAATTAAAGCTGCTGCTATTCATCCTGATACCTAAACTTCCATACCTGGGAAGACCCAAGCCGAGCCCATGGGAATATCTTGGTCACCCCCAATCCATATCAACTTCACTAATCACAACTGTGTGTCACTGCAGACATCAACCCATGTCCTTTTGGCAAAGTTTTTAAAATGACATGATTACATATTATTTTTCCTTCCAATAGGTCTCCTACCTCATCCAATGCACTGCTCTGCTACAACTCGTATGAAAGACTACCACATAATGCATAGGCCCAAAGAGACTTCAAAAAGGTTGTCTTTTGAGTGCTTCATTCTGCAATCTTACCATTCTTTTAAACTATATTTTTTATGCAATTAACATATTAGCGAAGATGCCCTGAAGAGATCCAATCTGCACTCAGTTACTATGATGATAAGCGATGGCGTAATAACCCAAAGATCTGAAGGAATAAAGACTGAAGATGTTACTCACGTTGGCACGTTCCTCCGTTAGTTGGATCTCCGTAATAGCCAGATATGCAGGTCTCACAGTGTTTGCCGGTAGTCAGGTTCTCACACTTTTCACAGATGCTTTCATTTATACATTTACTGTGCCCATTGCACTGGCAAGCTGGGAAAAAAAAGGAGGTGGGGGACAGGACAATTCACATTTGTGCTTAAATGTGGTGCTGCTTACAGTCCAAGCTGCATTCTGGATAGGCAGCATAGTCGAGTTACGACTGCAACTATCGCATGCAACTTCCACATTTGGAAAGAGACCCTTGTTCTTGTACTCTGCTCAGAGACGAGAACTGAGCACAGAGATGACTGTTTCAAATGTTAAGGTTGCATAAAATAAACTGAACAACAAGCCGTACAGATACAGCAGTGACTGGACTGAAGGGAACTACAGGGTGAGGCTTACAGGGAGGTAGGCAGCCTGCATTTCTCTAGGCTCCCTTCTACCAAATTCAGATCTAATGCATTGCTGAGGATCCTTAACACTAGTCACTTGAATATCCAGACGATCAGAAGTGCCTTTCCTTTTGACTCGATTAACTCCTCATATTTAATCATACTTAAAGCACTAAACACACAGCTATATTCTGTAGACTAATTGTGGACTCCAGGACACAGTCTTCATAATTTCGAAAGAAAATGCATGTCCCTCTGCTTACATTGAGAATAAACGCAAATTCTAAAAATTGTTTAAAAGAAGTCTTTTATCTCAAGGCTACGTTTTACAAACTCTGAACAGTTTGAACAATTAAAGCACGCTTGGCTCAGTTACCTGGACAATGAATGAAGGACCAGTTATAATGATTCTCTGCTGGACACATGCTGACATTAAGGATGGGTCTCAACATGGATGACGACGGCATCTTTACTGGACCTCTGTAAGAGCCTTCTATGCACTTCCCCTTTCCTGTATTAGTAGGATCCGTACACCAGCCACAGCCAGGTTGTTCCAAACAGTGGCCGCACGTGCAGTAACCGGAGCAGTTTTCAGCTAGGAAAACAAATGTCAAATTGTAAAACAAGTCATAGTGTGAGACAACACTGGGAACAGGACTCTTCACGTACCATTTGCTGACCTGGAGACTGATCTTTAGTGGGACATAAATATTAATAGTTTTAAATGTAAGCTGGAATTTGAGAATAAAATATTTTTCATTTCTCTTAACATATTTTATACAAGAATCTCAAAAGAAAGCTTTCTTTTAATAAAAACCAGTAAGCCTAGACAGGCCTATTATCATCTTATCCCAAAAGCAAAATGAGATAAAGAAGTTAAATCATTCAAACAGTTAAAAGCAAATTATATTATAGGCAGGGGGGCTGGGGGAAAAAAATAAATAAATAAAAAAAACCAAAAAACCTCCCAGTGCCCTCTTCTCACCATTAACCAATGTACACTAAAATGTAGGTGATGTTTTTAATCAACTGTCTGAACTATCCCGGTCTTATTCACAATAAAGTAAAAATTAAATCAACAGTCCCCAAATGAAGGTAAGAAACAATTTAACTGGATTAACAAATTACCAATTTTAGACTCCACAGATAACCTCTAATGCTCCTACACCACAAAGAAGCCAAAAGAGAACATAAGGGTTACCAAAATAACTTGTTCTCCGAACAAATGATTTCTACAGTGCCACATCGTGGGACCCATGTGCAGCACAAGGCAGCTACAGAAACTTTAAGGCCATATTTTACCATTCAGTTCTCAAGCACAATTGTGTGCTGAACTGGATTAAAAATACCACATCCACTTCAGCCATTCCTCAAGTCCTTGCTGTCAATTGTGACTATGGACACATTTTCATACCACCATGCTGGACTGTGGGGCACAGCTGCAAAGTATGGTCTGCCCTCGTTCCTATCCAAATCCCAGAAGCACCATTTTAGTGCAACCCCAAGGGTATGCCAGGAGCTGCCCTTGGACTCTCTGGGTGCATCCAGATGTGTGTGAGCATTTGGTTCCCCAAGGACAACTAGCAGCGGTGCATCTTGCACCGCAGTTACCTGTCCCCGGGGAACACCTGTGCCATGCATGCTTTGGTGCATGGCAAACTGCCCCAGGTGGGGTGGGGGAGGCTGGGGCCAGCACTGTGCTAACCCCAGCAGCTTTACCTGGGGACATCCCAGGGCTGCAGCCACAGCAATTCTGCTGCACGGAGCCTGGCTGGAAGCAGAGCGTGGCTCCGGGTGACCCAGCGCCGCTTTTCAGCAGCATGTGCTGCACTGTTGTGTTTTCTTCCTTGTGGTTTTTTGACCCCTGGATACCCAGGGGTCAAAAAACCTGCAGGAAAAAAAAAATGGCGGTGTGCACGCTCAGGCAGTGCACCCTTGCAGCACGGAGAACACTGGACTGTGCAGTATGTGGCATTGCAAGCATGTTTGCGGCATCACATACCGCACTCATCTGAACATGCTCTCTGTGTTTACTGGCACACGTTTGGGATTGCCTGCCCTGTCTCTGGGATACAGACTGTGCTGAGCAAGAATGAGCGAGCAGGGAGTAGTCACAGCAGTCCTCCCAGATGGAGGAGAAGCAGCGTAAAGAAGCCCTGTTTCAAAAATGACAAAAACTGTTCTGTCTGTAGGATCAACCTCAGTTTTGCTCTTCTACTTCAATCCAGATTCAATCAATAAATCTCAAACTTGATCTGCACAACTCGAAGAAACAGATTTTCTGTACTCTCCGAAGAGCATGATCTCTCTTATTAATTAAGATATGGCAACATTTGCATTTTTACTTTAGAAGGAAAATGAGTTTTCCATTACTTCAGTCCATTAAATCACTCATCTCCTTCTACTTCCTCCCACGTTGGCAGGCAGAGAAAAATAAATTCATAAACTAATGCCTGATGATCACTAAAAACAAAATTGTTTCACAGTACTGATCAACAGTTTTCATATTAGCATATCACAGAAAGAAAAGCAACCACCTACAAACATAAATACTTTAAAAATGAAAAAGTAAGATGAACTAACCAGCTATGCATCTAACTATATTCTGAGATTTTCAGTCCTAGAATTTCAAGGTCCTGGCAAAAGCAAGCCCTCTAATTTCCCTTTTCAATATTTAATGACATTACATCCGCTAGCCACACCATTCTCTAATCAACTGCTTTGCTCATTCCCCTATTTGCATCAAGCTGCTACACAATGCTACAACTTGCTTATCGTCTCCCAATAAGCGCAACAAGAATTAAGTGATAGCCAAATGGCTTTGCATTTAAGTTTTACAGCAGTTGTATTTTCATTCAAACTGAAATGGGAAACTAATAATATGAAGCACCCAAAATAATCCTGAGTGTGTCCAGCGATATTTCAGACGAATAGAAATTCAGAAAATGAAAGAAAAGATGGCTTCATGTTTTTCCCAAGAGAGAAAAAAGAAACAGTTTTCGATCACACTATTTGTGGAGCTCCTCTGCCTTGCTCAACACCTTCCACAAAGCACCGAGCAGGTTGTAGGAGCTGGACATCTGTGTCGAGGCTCTTCAGGTCAGGGGCCGATGATGGAGAGCATCACGCACTTGCCTGGGATCTGGTGACAGCTCTGTTAGCCGAAATGAAGGCTGTTATAAAACCTTCTCAGAGGCAGGCGGAATTACTTACGTAGACAACTGTTCGTGGTGTACCACTCCATGCACTGGCCATAAGGGAAGGAAGCCACGTAAGCGTTCGAGTCCACACACTGCTTCATGTTGCTGCACCACATGCACTCAGAGTTGGTACTTGTGCATTCTCCACACGTTGTCCTCAAGGCACACGGTGTGCGACACTGCTTGGCACTGTGGTTAGCTGGGCATAAGAAACACCATGGGAAAACTAAGTCTTAAAAAAATAGTAAGTTATAGGACCTTAACCATTACGCAACAGAAATAAAAGAGGTGAACCCACCTGGCAACGAGCCAAACCAAAAAACTGTTGAACTCTTTCTAAACTGCATCAACCTTGAGAAATTTTAAGACAGACGCAATGAAAAGAAACCTCCCGTTTCAGTAATTAACTGCATGGTTGTTCTCTTATGAGTGCAAATGTATTTAAAAAAACCCCAAAGGAAACCATGCTAAAGTTATTACCGATTTGGGTCTTTCTGTCTTAGGACAGACGCATAAGAATAAGCTATTTAGTTTTGCAAAGCTTAATGTGGATTTTACAAGCAGAAAATGGTTTAAGTGACTTGACCAATTCTAAAGGGAAAAAAAAAAATCAGTTAGAAAGAAAATACTAACTTTGTCCCCTGCTTAATCCATTAGACAGCAACGGACACTGACCATTAATAGACTAAAATGCCACACATTTAAGTTTAAGCTAGTTTAAAATGTTCTGAATCAGTTTAAATCAGAAAAACAAAGACATTCAGAGTTTAGACTCGTGAAATAGCCTTATTTCCGACTGTATCCTGAACTCGCACCAAACAGCAATTACACTGGTCATGTTACGTAATCAGCCAGCTTCTCTAAAAATATAAGGCACTAATGGTTATGCAGAATAATTAGCCATAATGGAGAGTTAATAGACCAAGCCACTTTTAAGATACGCAGTTCCAACAAAGCTAGGACTCTTCTAAAAGCAAATAGCCTCTTTTTGCAAAATTCTCATCTCTCTGAAGTGTCACGCCCAATTAACTTCAAACCTTGAAAAAAAAAAAAAAAAAATTCTCCTCTAGCTAGAGTACATAAAAAAATGCATTCAGTTGGAGAACAGCTTAAAAAAAAAAAATTAAGGAATGACTGCTTCATACCACAATTAACCTAAATGCCACAAATAGGTGTGCAACTAGGAGAAAAATAATTAAACTTTCAAATATCTAAGGTGTGCTATATTTTAAGAGTTTCACAGGACAACTGCTTTTAAATGCCCTATTCCAGTACACAGCACTGGCACAAGATGCTTGAAAATGGTCTGCTTGGCTGCTACATAAGGTAATGGTCCAAAATTCTCATAAGGAGTATAGTAAAGCACTGGAAAAGGCTACCCAAAGAGGTGATGGAGTCTCCACCCTTGGAGGTGTTTAAGACCCAGCTAGACAAAGCCTTGGCTGGGATGATGTAGTTGGGGCTGGTCCTGCTTGGAGCAGGGGGTTGGGCTAGATGACCTCTTCAGGTCCCTTCCAACCCTCATTGTCTATGATTCTATGAAAATAAAATACAAAACCTTAGAGGTCTTATTTTACTTGAAGTAACACAAAATATACCACTTCACCGGTTTCCTACAAAGCACACAAGTCAACAGCATAGTTACCGGGCCGTTCACAGACGCTGCCATTAACTTGGTTGATGCAAGTTGCTGCCTTCAGTCCGTGCTGATAAGGCTCAGCTAAATATCCACAAAATCCAGCATCACTTGGTTCTCCCGGGAGCCATCCAAGCAGGGTGTCTGTAAAGGGAGACATGTCTTCCCAGCACCAATACGACACATTGATTTTCCTCAGCCCAACCCATGGGGTCAGGGTTTTGGGCTAGAAATAAAGAAAATGAGAGACGTGAGTCAGCATGCCACAGTTTTACTATATCACGCCGCTGAAAAGCAAGGTTTGGGGGAAAAAAAAAAAATACATTGTTATGTACTGTTCATAAACAACCCAGCCAGGTTTTGTGGTGCAAGTATTGATTAGTGCACACACCTCTCTCCCTGGTCCGGAGTTATGTCGTACATCAAATGGAAAATAGACGCTTTCAAGGCATACATTATTTATTTAAAAACACCCCTCCCTCCTCTCCCAATCAACACAGGATGCAATGGGTTTAATCTAAAAGCCAATCAACAGAGAATTTTTTCAGATATTTCCAACCACTAGAGAAGAGCAAGAACAGATTGAACACATTCCACCTGACCAGTTCTGAATTAACAGTACAACTTGCTCTGCTGCGCAGGGGTTTTGAAGATGCAGTAAATGGCTAGAAACAGAGCCAGCAGTTTTCCAGGGGGACAACTTGTTAAGATGAAGGGAATGGTCATAGATGCAATTAGCAGCCAATTCTCTACCATATTTACACAAATCCAAGATGACTCTGAATTTAAGAACCACCTCTCTCCCCCCCAATAATTAGATTCTATACATGGAAAATGTATACATTTCCTTGTGTAGAATCCAATTATTGGAGGGTCGGCTTAAATACACCCCCCCCTCCCTGCACCGCTGCAGTGGGAAAAGCAGAATCAGCAGAACAGGCAGCCCCCAACACTTGTCTTCTCAACCCTTGTACCACCTACAGCCTGCCCCTGCCTGATGGTGCCTTTGCCCCTGCCACCTGCACCCACTGCAGCCTCTGCCCCCAACTTGCTCCACATGGCTCCTTACCCCCATAGTCTCTGCCCCCCGCCTGCTCCCCACAGCCTCTGCGGCTGCTCTGTGACCGGGCAGCAGCTGGAGCTTGCATGTGCTCTGTGCCCAGGAGGAAATGGAGCTGGAAATGTGCCTAACACTAAGCAGCCGGTGGGAGGGGGACGAGACTATTGGGGGGGGGATAGACCACTGCTGTAGGTCTCTCTCTAGACCTGACCCAAAGTTGCAGCTGCAGCAGCCACCTATCCCCCACCCTCCACTTTATACCCTAATTCAAGATAAGGGGCTTCCCTTCCTCCCATCCCCTGCTTTGCTCAATGGGGGTGGCGGGCGGGCTCATCTTTAATTCAAGTAAATACAGTAAACAAAGCAAGCAGTCAACACTATAGAAAATTCCTGGCATCTCTCTCAACTGAAAGGTCAGAGAAAAGAAAAATCAAATATTTAACAGAAAGAGCTATACTGGCAACCCTTACCCCCTATAGGTGCAACTTACAGCACCAGAAGAGCCCTGGTATTTTTAAGGAGCTCTCTTTTTGCTGGTATAAGATGCACCTCCACGAAGGCCTGTTGGTGATGTAGCTCTCCAAGTAAAGCCTTTGTAGTATAACACTCTTATCAGTAGCCCTCAGGAAGCAATCTACCAACTTCAAAAAAAAATGTTATGTATGTTTAATTTAAACGTACAACTAATGAAGCAATGTGTGCGAACGGCATGGCCAGGAAAAAAAAGGAAGTTGCATATTTTCAGACAAAGTGTACAAGAACAGATAAGTTGCAGCTGCTCCACGGTTTATTGGCAAGCGCAGGCTCATCCGCCAAAGGTCAGTGCCAGCGTGAAAGCGGCTCATTGCTGCAAGTCAGAGTGCACAGGATATGTAGCCTGGCTTCTTACCAAGGTATTTTTTGGAAATTACAAAAACTGGTGGAATACAATGCATAATAAAAACTCAAACCAAATGACTCTTTAAAAAAAAATTTAAAAGCCTGTTTAGGTTTTACGACCATTTCCCTTAACAGTTCGTTATGAGGGAACGACCCACGTTTATATATTCAGATGCTCTTAGAGAACTTACGATAGTGGGGATCTAGGCATGTATACTGTACTTAACCACTAGGGTATCCAAAGGCCTTGCAAGTTTTAAAACTACCTATTTTTAATATCATCTTCTATTTTTCTCCAGTGCCTTACAAAAGATTTCTTTTAATATGTAATCTTGTATGAAAGACACCTTACATTGTGTTGATAAAATGAAGCACACCCTAATGCCTGTGATTGTTGAGCTGTTTCATTTTAACATCACAATGGGAATGGAAGGAAAAATAGAAAGTAAACACTCCGGTTTCAATACACTAATATAACATTTCCCTTCAGCATTTTTAAGTACGTTTCTGCTCCGAAGAATCCATAACAACAGTATTATGTTCCACATTTGTACACATATAAATGTGGAATTTTTCCCCATAGCAAATGTTTTCAGTTTACAAATAAACGCATTTTCGTGACTGCCAGCTCTGAACAGAGCGGCCTTGGAACTAGGAGTTTTCTTTGTGTTTCCGTTGCAGGGCGTAGCCGTATTGAACTAGAGGCAGAAGGAATGAAAAACTTGTGGAAGAGGTGATATTTTTTATTAGATCAACTAGCTACTTGCAAACAAATTATTTAATTTATTTGCAAGCTTTCAGGCATGCTCACCCTTCATCAGGCATAGACGAGAGCAAAGAATGTAAAAAGTTCTCCTAGGTAAAAATGAAAGTTCAGCAACTTCGCAGTAAAAGGATTTTTGCAACTGTTGTCTGTGGCTAACCTGGACAAAACAAACTATTTCAAACAGAAGATTTTACCACACCTTCAGCTCTCCTGTGAAATACGAAGTTTCATTTCTACCCTAGGAGAACTTTTACAAACTCTGCTCTCTCTTCTGCCTGATGAAGGGTGTGTGTGCTCAAAAGCTTGCAAATATATAAAATAATTTGTCTGCAAATACCTAGTTGGTCTAATACAAGGTATCACCTCTTCCATGAGTTCTGATTCATTGGTAGCAATGATTCTGAAAGCTTTGTGGGGTTCTTGATTCACCCGTGTGGGGTCATTCAATTTGCTAGAGCCTTAGCACCACCTGAGCAACCTTCTTTTAAATGTCTTTGCATCAGTGTAGCAGATAGAGAAGGAAGAAATGCCAACTCACTCTCCTTTAAGTATGCTGGTCCAGTACAATTAGCAAAGACAACATGTTTTTGTCACTAATAGCATAAGAACTGCCGTTTACTGGTCCATCCCGCCCAGTATCCTGTGTCACAGTTTCATAGTAGTATTGGCTGACAGCAGATGCTGAAAAGGAGAGTATTGACTCTCTGTTCCTCTCCCACTTGCAGCTTCCAGCATTTAAGGTCTAGGAAGCCTGATTCCGACTGTATCCCAAACTCCCACGTTCAATAGCTACTGATGCACCTTTCCTTCCAGAATCTGTACGACCCCTTTCTGAACCTGAAACAGTCAGCTGCCACAAAAACTCGCGGCAATGAGGTCCACACTTAACGTGTATTCGCTTTAATGTGAATACACCAAGAAGGTTTGCCAAGTAAGAAGCTGCCATTTAGAAAAACAGCTACTTTTCCCAATAGAAAGAATAATTTAAATGCTTTACATGAACATGTAAACAGTGCCCCAAAGGGCCCTTCATTCATAGCAGGTTGTGTACAGGGCACACAAGAACCACTCACCTTCATGTCGCAGTCATGTATCAGCATCGGAAATATGCATAAGGCTTTTTTATACCAAGCAATAGCTGGGAGGCACCACGTGCGTTTATATTTATCTCTCCCATTTACATTTTCTTCAGCTAACACACTTCAAAAGCTGCTACGGGATATGTTAGTTTTCAAAAGAAAACCCAGGCCCTTTGAGTTAAGAGGCATGTCTATTTTGGTACAAAGCACACCATTCCATAAGCAAGCATTCTTCCCCAGTCAGAGCACTAATTATTCGGAGGATACTAAGTCAGAGCACTAATAAGTCAGAGCACAAATTACTCGGAGGATACTAAGAAGTAGGACTCACCGAAGACTGCATCTTCACCAGCTCCTTTAGAACAAATTCTACCTTCTTCTGGGTGGTGAGAGAAGCCAGGAGAGCATTATGAGTCCTGCAGGCCAGTTTGGCATGGTCATAGTTCTCTTTGGTGTTAGTGATTTTCAAACAGGAATTGCCCACCAAATGCCAGTTTGCGCCACAGATATTTTCTAGGGAAAAGTGACAAAACAAGAGATAGAAAACATGAGCTGCCCAGGTAAAGAGAACACCTGCAGGTGAGGTAATGAAGGCTCCATTCGCAAGGGGCCATCAGTGTAGAACCGATACCGCCACTCCAAAAGAGCTTGGGTTTGCTTGCCTACATGCCATGCTGCAAAGTATGCATCAAGAAAGGCTTTGGGAAAAGGAGCAGCTTGTTAGGAGCAAAATTATGGATGGAAGAGGGTATTATTGGAAATGATGGGAACTACCTCTAGCTTTTAGTTCAATATGCTGCAGCAAGGGAAGTTTAGGCTAGATATTAGGAAGAATTTTCTCACAAGGAGGATCATAAAACACTGACAGACGTTACCCAAATAGACTGCGTACTCTCCATCCATGGAGGTGTTGAAGACCCAGCTAGACAAAGCCTCGGCTGGGATGTAGTTGGGGCTAGTCCTGCTTGGGGCAGGGGGTTGGACTAGAAGTGACCTCCTGAGGTCCCTCTTCCAACCCTCATTTTCTATAAGTCTAAAAATCACCTCTAATTTATAACGAAGCAACATGCATCAGTTTCCAAGGAAATTAAAGCATTAACATTTCAATACAAGGTTTGTGCCTCCGCACGCTCTCAGCCAAAAAAAGGAAAAGGGATTGGATGGAGCACTGCCAATTCAAAGGGTTTAAAGTCTGAGTCAGAGTACTCAAATCATTTGATAGTCTTTAAAATGAGAAAAAAAGTACTACTCCTATTTGTGTTCTTTTGCCTGCCTTCTGGTTTTGAAACCTTTAGGTCTGGCCCAAGTCATAGCTGAGCCTCCTCCCACAATTATAAAGGCCAGGAACTCTCTTCTTTAAATGAAATCTAAGATTCTCATAGTCTCACGCACCCAAGAATGTGGGCTTTAAATAGAAGTGCCAAAATATCACGAGGCTCATAATAAAATCAAATTTAACAATACAGGTGACGAGAGAAAAAAAAAAAAAAAGACTGTTGTCACAGCTAAGTAATAAAATATTAATTAATTTTAGACTGTCTACTGATTGCTTTACTTCATCTAGCTATGGGAGCAAACATAGCTGTTAAGAAAGTGCTACGACAACTTGCAAGAAAAATACAAAGGCAATGAACACGGAGCCAAACAACTGGGAGAAAACTGCTAAGCATCAAATCACTTCGAAAGAGTCTATTAAGCATGGAATAAAGGCGTTTGAAGAAAGAAAAGCTCTACATGCAGGAAGACCTCTGCACTGCATTTAGATTAGTTAAATACAAAACGTCAGCTGTGATAAGAGCAGAAGAGACGGCCGTTCAAGAAATGGGCTCTACAGATGTTCAACGAGCGGATGCCTCACCCAACACAAATCTATTGTCTCACAAGGCAGACAGACGTCTATGTAAGAAAACTGATAACACTATTTTACAGCACACCCTTGACACCAAATGGGTGAACAAGATCATTCTCACATGGGACAACTGACCCTTTTGGTTACTGAACCCCAACTAAATTTGGAACCGATTTTAACATAAAATAGAAATCCTTCTTTCTAATGAGAGAGAGAAAGGAAAACACAAGTAGAAGCGTTTCACTGATAATTAATGTACAGTCATTTCACCCATGACAGCAAGAGTAACTCACAGGTTACTACCACCCTCACCCCCAAAACCATCCGCTAAGTGGACTGAACTCCCCGAGTTTCTTACACTGCAGTGTAGTGTCCAATAATCCAGTCATACTTGGGTCTCTACTCTGAAACCTCCCCAAACTTCCAACATACTTCCTGGAAGGAAGATGTTACAGCTGGATATTGTATTCCAGTGTCAGCCTCTCACAGGCCAAAGAAAAGGTAAGATGAAACTTTCCTACTCAAGATTCCTATTTGCTTTGTTATTTTCCCCTCCTCAGGCTTTGCGCCACATGCAAAACATTAAATCGGTGAAGTTTTTCCTTAAAGCTCACAGGCAAAAGTTGTAAGTAAGGTAAGGCCAAGGACCAATTCCCTTTGGAGCTCCCGCTAGAAACATCCCAGCAAGATGACGATGCCCCTTTCACAATTATAATTTAGCAAGCGGTTACCGTAGGCCATGTTTATTTTGTGATGTTCTAGCTTTTTAAATCTGAATGTTGCGCACAACCAAGACAAAAAGCCTGACAGAAGCCTAAGTGCATTACATCAGTGGTATTGCCATACTTCATCCTCATCTGCAGGAGTTACTGTCGATTTTGAGGTGCAAAAGCAATGAATGTGTACAATAGATGCCGTCGTTGTGCATACGTACCAGGTAAAGCTATACACTCTTGATTGCGGGGCTCCCACTGACAGTTCTGGTCCATCGCACAGCTTTTACAACTTGTCTTTTTGTTGCAGTAATAGGAAGGGTTATCCTTGGGGCAGTTGTCATAGGCAGTAATGGCAACCTGAAAGACAGCATGGTTAAGCTTTTCTCTTACACGGCTACATAATGCACACAAGAAGCACAGACTCATAGAAAGCGAGGGTTGGACGGGAGCTCGGGAGGTCACATCTAGTCCAACCCCCTACTCAAAACAGGACCAGTCCCAACTACATCATCCCAGCCAAGGCTTTGTCTAGCCAGGTTTTGAAAACCCCAAGGCTGGATTTTCCACCACCTCTCCAGAATCACCATGATCTTCCATAGAAAAGGCAAATGATTAAGTCTATCAAGTGCTGAGGTTTACTAGAGGTTAAAAAAAGACTGCAAATTGACTGGGACGAATTACTTGTTTAGAATACCCTGCTCACCCAGTACTTCCCCCACTGTGCTCAAGTCCCTCAAAGACTCAGTCCTGCCACCTGACTTACGAGGACGTGACAAGTGGACTTGCTTTTTCTCTCTCAAACTATTACTGGAATCTTCAATGTTCATATGATATTACCAATCCTTGCACTTCCCCACTTCCTCCTGGGCTCTTTAACACATGCGCTACTTAGGAAGTAGAAGCACAATATGATCCAGGGTCCCACAAAAAGCCCTACCCCCACCAGAAGAGAGAAAGTAAGAAAAATTAGATTTTAGTGGAGAACTGGTACACAAACAAAAGAAACTGTGACACTGAGAAGGACTTCACTGAATTTTGAAGCTTTGGAGCCAGATTAATATTTTACGGTGAAGCTGAAAATGCCTTTACCTGGTCTTCTGTGCAGTTGCTATGCCCCGAGATGCACTGGTCATTGCACCACTGACAGTTGTTTGTGTTGGCCGTGCAGCTATAGCAGTCTGTATTCTGATCACATTTTTCGTGGTCTACAAATATTAAAGAAAAAAAAACCTGCATGATCAAAAACAGGCATTTCCGCACAGAGTTTTAAGAACGTGCTTACACAGAGCACACGATACAACCAGCAACCGTATCTATAGATTTCCTGTTACCAACTAGTCATCAACAACACTGGATTCTTACTTCCAAGTCATCTGAGTTATTCCATTTATTTCTGCTGTCGAATCTTTTGGGGATTTGACTGCCACAAAAATGCACGTGCAATTAAAGGCACAAAACCCCCCAGTTGCATGGGCAACCGCAGCTACGTACGAACACAAATCAATGAACACGCAAATGATAGAGTAGACTTCAAACGGGGGATGAGGATGAGCCACTGCAGATCCATTTTTTTTCTGACGGCCTGGCTCTTCATAACTTGGGATATTTTCCCACAAACTTCACCACTTCGAATTCATCTTTCTTCCCTATTATCTCCTCTGCCTATAGAGAAGTTTATTGCACATTAAGAGCTCATCAAACTAATGTCCCTCTAAATCAGTGGCTTTAAAATAATGAAAGGATGTTATCTAGTACAAAGCGTGTTTCAGAAAAAGCCAAACTTGGAGCTGGCAGAGATGTAGGATAAAGTGCTTGCTAGCTCAGAGTTGGAAAGCTTCATACAAGGGGCCCGTAATTAAATGTGATTAGGGACCTACTTAACTCATGGTAAGAGAACGCAATTTTTGCAGCTTGGTCACAGCCCAAAGAGCATATTTTGCAGTCATTTCACAGTGGCTCCACCCCTTGGTGCTGACTGGCAGAGAGGCCTCACCCCTCCACATTGATTGGCAGAGAGGCCCCAGGGGAATGAGGGAAGAAGGTACGGCCACCATCTTGACTATGGGCTGCCCCTTGTGTGGCCCCACTCCTTGGTGCTGATTGGCAGAGAGGCACAAGGGGGCAACCACCATCTCGGTTGCTGTCCTTCGTGCCCCCCGCCGGCCGATGCCAGGGCACAGACGCAAGGAAGACCACGGGCTCCCATTGGGAAGCCAGCATTTTATTTTGATTGTCTTTTTTTCTGGATGATTTCCTGGGAAATGGCAGCCAATGCCATTTTTCGTAGCAATCGTGGAGATCGCCGTTTTCCGCAATTTCCATGAAACGACAATTGAAGCAGGTCCCTAAATACGATGGGTATAACTTTGCCCAATGAAGGGTATCTACAGGCCCTGACCTACACTGAAATAAATTAAAGCGACTATCAGCTGATGTCTTCAGCTGTAAAAGGCAGATCTCCTGTTACCTCTAAGACGCAAAAAAGTCCAGGACCCTTCCCACCACCACCACCCTCTCCCCACTTTTCCCATAACAGTGCTTGCCGCAGACCTGGTGGCCCCCCGAGTGACTTCCTATGGAGCAATTATCCCAACTTCAATCCTGTTGGCCAGATAACCGTGAGGACTGAGAGCATGGTAAATACAAACTCTTTCGAAAGGACCCGGGCCCAACAGAAAAGAACCTGATAAAAGATTTAAAGGAGAAAAGCTAACTTTTAACTTTGCCTCTTTTCCCATAATGCTGAGCAGACCTTGCTACCTGGGGTGTCTGGTTTTATTGTACCCACTTAAATTGAACAGTTCCCCCTTTTTATTAGAACAAAGTCTAAGCCGCCGAAAGCTCTAGATTAACAGTCTATAACTGCATCTTCTGCACAGTTACAGTAGTTTGCTTTTGACTTCAACTTTGCCTTTCACTTGCTGAACACATTAAAAAGTCTTTCTTCGAGGACCAGGTCCTGCATTTCTACTTGTTTGCTTATGCCAGTCGTGAAATGCTGAATATTTCCAAGCAGAAAATACAGTTTTGAAAATTAAGTGAAGAGTTTCGGCACAGTCTGCAGTACACGCATAGATTAATCTGCTATACAGAATATACAGAGCCCTGGCCCACAGACCCCAACTTTGGCTGTTTTAGACAACAGAAAAAGGAAGGGAATTTCAAACAAACACTTTGGAAAGGAAAAACAGGTAATGCCTACCTAGCTTGGGAGGGCAGTCTTCAAAAACCTTCTGTTGTTGCGCGATAGTTGCCATTTCCCATGGGACACACTGAGAAGAGTTGGTATTCCAGACACACCTGACTCCAGGGCCTGCTCTTGAGCAGGATGTCCTACTGTCATAAGCTTCACAGCTTTCTGGTGTGAACCTCAAGATGTCACTCAGGAGAAGGCTATTGAAACCTCCATATATATACATAGTGCTAAACAAAAAGGAGAGAAGTATATGTTACATGTAAGCCTTCAAGTCTCTTTATAAGCCACATGCACCTGCAGCTTAGTCCTTGTCCTTGGTAATGATACAGGACACCTAGAGTATATGGACATGTGCATAAATCTAAGTTAAAAAAAACAACTTTTGGTTAAAGAACATGTTAAAAAGAAAGTGACAACTCAGATTTCCTTTAGTTCAGTGAATCTCAATCCATGGCTTGCAAGTCAACCAGCATCACATCATCCTCTTTCTAGAATCGGAGATAAACCCCTCCCTGCCTCCCAACCAAGAGAAGTTGTGAAGCAGGAAAGGTTATATTCTGCCATTGAAGCAGGGCTTGAGAGTGCCTCACAACAATACAAACGTGGGAGCTACAGTGACACGACAAAAATAATTATTCTGTGCTCCTTGGCATCTGAACATTCAAAGAGTCAGTCTGTCAGCTGAAACGGAACATTTTTGGGGGTTCCTTAAGGCAGGGAGGTGTCTGTGTTTTAGGCACATCACTAATAACACATCTCATTGCTACCGATAAAATTAGATTGTATATTCAGGTGTTTATCCAAGTATTCAATTATGCTTTCAAGATTTTTAATTATAATATTTGATGTGCGATATATATTCCATATGATGTCTAACATTAAATGTAATGATTTAATAAAAAACAGTAAGGATAAGGAAACTAACAGAACTCAGTGGATACTTTGGTTGGGGAAAGTCCACTTCTTTTATCCTACCTTGCTCCCAATTCAGGAAAGCATGCAAGTGCAGGCTTAAACCCCTTAAAAGTGGATCCTTTGAGGTTGTGTTTAACAAACAATGATGCTGATGTAGTGAGGTTTTTGAAAACGCAGAAAACAGTTCGAAAATGCAACTCCATTGAAAGTCAGCAGACACTAGATGCTGGCTTACATCTGTGACTTAAATAACATATGAGGGTTTAAGAAAAAATACCAGCAGAGAGGGCTAGAGATCCAAAAAACCAGAGACTTTTTGGAATTTTCACTTAAAACTAAAGTAGGCCCAAGCTCACTTCCACAGACCTGAAGGCAATATAAGGAAAAATTGCATTGAACTCAAAACGTTAAAATAAAAGTAAGTGTAACAAAAACAATGGCATGGAGTCCAGGTACACGTGCACCTTAGTAATGTACATTTTGTAGCTGGGAGGGAGAAAAGGGCTCAGAAACAGAAGCTACAATAAGCAAGATGGGATAACGCAGATGTGGATGGAAGTCTCAGAAAAAGAGATAGCACAGTGAGCATACAATTTTGGAGATAAAGATGATAGAGCTGTCAATGGAAATAGGAAAGAGGAGAGGGATTATAAGGGAATGTGAGAAATTCAATTTTAGAGTGATTAAGTTGCAGAGATTAGATGGTGACAGTCCAGTTTAGTCAAAGAGAAGGAGATGCCAGATGCAGCTAAAAATAAAAACAAGCTGGAGAGAGAGTGAGCAAGCAGGTCATAGGTGAGCATTAGATTTGGGACTCGGAGGTAGAAGTTGAAGCCGTGACCAGAGCCAAGGTCACAGAGAAATGACCTTTCATACATACATGTGTCCGGACTTGGGTTCACTGAAGTGCACCATGCACATGCAAAGGGTTTGCAGTCTTACCCGTTGTGTAGGACGGCTGAATGGCCAAATCTGTTGACATCGTGATGGAGATCAGGACGAGGAAGGATTGACCAGTGATCACAAGCTAGGATTAAGGAAAGCTCATTTCAGAAAAATTCCTCCGGCATAATTAAAGACTGACATTTACATAGCGCATTTCTTCCTGAAAGATCCCAAAGCCCATTAACAACACTGCAGGAACCGTTGTACCCATCGCCAAAATGCAGCCACCACTAGAATGAAACGTGACAGCTCTTTAAAAGACCGTTCAGTGACACCCACTATACAGCATGTCAAGGCAAAAGCAAACACTAATATATCCATTTGAAACTATCAGTTGCAAGAGTGAAAAGTTTCTTCCATCCTTTTTTGGGTTTTTTTTTTTGGCAAGGGTACATTAGCAGGGGCAGACTTCATACTTTGAAATATTTTTTAGCATATTATAGCTTAAAGATTCTTGGTTGGTTTGTTTTATAAGTACAGAGCATGATTATTCCGTCGTTGTCTAATAGCATAGCGTTTATGAGTGCCGCTTCATTTTTGTCAGTTTGGTTTCTCAGGTAATTTCTTCCTTTAGGCATTATGAAGAAACAAAACCCACTGTGCAATCAAAGGGGAAAAAAAGCAGAATAAGTCAGTCCAATTTATCCCACTTTACCTTAGCAAAGTAAAAGGGAACATGCGAGACGTCGGTGTTCCAGAGGTAGTTGTAAGCAATTCTATGCAATTAATGGGGGGAAAAAAGTGAATCTGCTACAAAAGAAAAAGATCTAAACAGCGCTGGCGTATCGACAAGCTCTCAATACAAGAGCAAGCTATGATGCGTCACGGGCTGAGATCTCCAAAAAACAAACCCACAGCTTTAAAGCAATATTAAATAGGCTACACAGAGGAGATATACACAGAGACAATCCTAGTATTTCTTTACCAATTTTATTTGAGGAACAGTAGGATAAGAGATATGATACCACAATAGTCCTCTCAAGGGTTTTTTTAAATAGATGGTGTTTGGAAATGAAATCTATGGAGCTTTATTAGGTGACTTTAATAATCTAGCAAATTGTTGCTTTGCAATTTTAAAAAAAAAAAAACGGTTTACTTGACGTTACGGAAATGAAACTTACTGCAACGCTACTCACAAGGATAGACGCACAGTTCAATTTTTTTTTTTTTTTTTTTTTAAGATGACTTCAGTAAAATTGGACCACAATTCGCATCCTTTTTTCAATTTCTGCAAATTGTGAGTTTATTAAGCCAAGAAATATATTTTTCTAGTTTGTCAGAAGTCTTGGAATGTTTTGCTTTCTAAGCTCCTTTCCCATCCTCAACAGAAGATCAAGCACTGGAAGAAACTTAAAAAACAAAAAGAAAAACTAATGATATTAAAACTACAAAGAATTTCTTCCATCCAGACTTATAAAGTTAAGCCAACCTTAGGTTTACAACATACAGATTCTGTTAAAGATATCAAATTAAATGGAATCTATGTGCTGTGAAAATACACAGCACCAAATTTGGCATGAGAACTGAGTTTTTAATAGAGCAAATAGAAAAGAAAATAAATCTGCCCTATTTTGGAGTAATGAAAATCATCACGTCATTGATGGGTGTATGCAAATGACTACGTGGACTTTGGAAAATAACTGAAAAGGTGAAAAACTTACTTAAGTCCAAACGGAGCTGCACCCATGCCCTACCATTTCAGACGAGGCAGGGGTACCACATCTTGCGCTCTGCTAGGACTTCAGAAGTACATTATCAGAGTTTACACCTGACTTGGACACCAAGGGAAGCATGGGGTCAACTCTGGGATGAAAGTTGTTGGAGGAGGAGGAGGAGGAAGGGGGAACGAGGGGAGAGGCGGTTTTCCAATCAATAGGAAAGTCAGAGACCATCTTCGCTAGAAGTTCAAACAGACGATCCCATCCCCACCAAGCTGAGGTCCCACGCTAGGAAGGGCTCCCTGGCCTAGAGGTAAAAATGTGTTCGAGAACATTGAGCCCTTACACCACAGCTGGAGAAGACATGTCCCTGCTCGGAGATATTCATCATCCATGTCATTCTTGACCATGTCCGAATCAAGCTGAGGGATAGTCCAAATAGTCCAAGCACTGCAGGTGATGGCTGGCAGATCACATGCCTGAAGCGACTGAGTCATGTGTTGGCACGCAAGTACGGGTAAGTAAGTGAACGTGTTTTAAGCACTGAAGTCAGATTCTTCGATCTCCAACTGAGGGTCTAGCAGTCCCAAGACAGGTTGAGCTGAATATTTCAGCAGGGTAATAGTGTCCGGTCCCAAATACTATGGGGACATTGTGCTAGGTATCCAAGGTGATCAGTAGCAAACTAATGTAGGCTTCTTTAATGCTGGTGGCAGCTGTCCTCTTCAGAAGCAGTTATCAGCGTTGGCTTCAGAAGCAAGGATTTGGAAAGGGACCGAAACCCTAAGACCGCTGGAAGTTTGTCTTGGAGGAAGGCTTCCGTCCCTGTTGTTTGGGAGCATGAGGACAAGCTCTGGTCCATGGAGGGGTCCTCTTGGCAGGCTCTCCCTAAAACAGCAATTCCCAAAAAGCATGCCACAAGTGTGACAGAAGTGTGCCAAGAAAAATGGTATTTCATCAGGATTAGTTTCCAGCCCTATGAGTCTGGAAATTTGGCAGTGGAGGAGAGGTGGCAAATTAACACTGCTATTGCTCCCGTGCATGGAGCAAATTTCCAAGCTCCATGCAGTTGGATCAGGCCCCAGTTGTGTTGGCCCCACAGCAGGATCAGGCACCAATTATCCAGCCTGTAGGGCCAAAATGTTGGGCGCTACTACGTAAGTCTTGCATAGTGTGGCATATACTGTGCCCCTCATATATACGCTGCGTATGCATGCCCACATGTGCATAATACAGGCCCACTCATGTGTGGCATGCAAATACCACCCCCCCAAAAAGGCATATTATATATGTAAGAGTGAAATGTCTTGCCAACTCTAATCCAGTGTGCCCCAGGTTTCAAAAGTTTGGGAAACATTGCCCTAGGATCATTGCTGGTGTGGTTGATGCAGAGTATTCCAGGAGTGATGCAAAAAGTTGGATAACCCCCCCTGACTAATTGGTACATGGGCCAGCACCTTTCCAGACAGCCTGGCTGCATCTTGTGTGAAACATTATACAAGGAAGAGCTTCGAACATGTTTCGCTGGTCTTCTGCATCCTTTGAAGACTGCCTTTGAGGTAGAAGAATGCATTATTGCTAAGGTGACTGTAACAGGGCACTTGGAGGTGCAGGGTGCTTACGTAAGAGGCTGCTTGCAGGTGGCAGAGGGGAATAATGAGACGTTCACCTGACTGGAAGGGCTCCGGCTGGAGCTATAATCCTAAAGCCTGCACCAGGCAGGTAGTCGCTCCCCAGCCACCATGCAAGGAGCTCTTGACTATAGGGCAGCAGTGTTATACTGAAGGAAACTGGTTTATACTGGATGACTCTGGAGACCTGGCAATTGAGACAGGTTTCCTGGGTTAAGAAAGAGTGGGCTTTTTACAGAGAAGTGGCCTTGGTTTTGTTAACTTCAGAGGGTCGGGGTGCCCACTACAAGGTCCAAGAGGGCCGGGTGTATAGGTTAGGGAATAACCCTGGATGGAGCTGAAAAGTTTGCCCTCTTAGAAGGGCAGAGAGAGCTATTTCAGCTGTGGTTGTGTTTCTGTTATAGCCCAGGGGCTTATAGTTTTGTTAGTGTTTACTCCGGTGGTTTGGCTGGGACTGTAAGGAGTGATTCTGGAAGTCCCATTAGTGCCTGGAGGCTGTGAAGGCTGAGGCCACAACAGAGGGAACAGCGTTACTGTAACACGCACAAGGCTCGAGGCATGGTATAGAGGAAGAAAAGGAGCCACGCAACTTGCTCCTCGGGCCACAGGTGCCCTACAGGGGCCTGGTCAAGTCAGGAGAGAAACTATGAGGATTGAGGCTCACTCTGAAGCCTGTTGGTATTCTCCCTTAATCATTCTTTAACAGTAAGATCAAGGCATGGCAGGAAAGCAAACTAGAGGGAGAGGCCATAGAGTATAAGCTGGACAGGAGCCGCAGTTCCACTAGGAGGTGTCGCGGCTGCCCCAGTGTGTTTGCGACCTCTTGCAGTGACCATATTATTTAAGGAAATCCAGGACCTTGCCTGCCCCCTTTTCTTCCCTCCTTCCAAGTCAGTGTGCTAGTGCAGGCAGAGGCAGGCATGACCTGCCCACCTGACATACCATGGTGCTCCACCTCCCTGCCAGACTGCGCTCCACGTTACCCCTGTGATTTTGGGACTTGTTTTACTTTTCACCAACTGGCATGGATCGGACTACGAAACCTAGGACTGTCCCAACCAAACCAGGATGTATCATGACCTTAACTATAGCGTGCCCTTCCGCCAAGGCATTGCTACCAGAAAACATGCCACTCACTCACTGGCCTAACAGGAAGATCATAAAAGCAGGCAACTTACGTTGCGTCCTTTCTACGAGTACAGAGATGAATAGACAAAACGTGAGAACCTTGTGCAGGAGTGGAAGGGCTCTGAATCAACAATAACCCCAGGCTTAAAAAAGTAAACTTATTATTACTCTGACCTAACATAAAAACAGCCAAACGCAAAGAAAGCCTAACTACAAAGCTCTTACAGCTTTAATATTCACATCAGAACTAGTTCTTGATAAGGAGCACACATACTACAGGGTTTTGTCTCTTGTTCACAAAAGGGAAAAGAAACTGTGCTTGGATTTTGTACACAACGGTCTTCATAATACCTTTGAGAGAGCAAGATGGTATGTGGGACACAGGCGGGGTCCAAATAGACATTGCTGTTCAAATGAGTATGAGATCATATATAAATAGACAAGCTAAGAGTAAAATCGGTATGGATAATCATTCCATCAAGATTTCAAGTTCACATAACTGTTTCAGGGAAGCTGGTGGGGTCTCTTTGTTCAAGGAATTTTAGTAGATAAAGTCTATTTTGCGCATTAATACTAAAGGTTAAGAGGGAAACGTTCTCCTGAAATAGACATTTTCTGGGTGTTTATGCACCTTTTCTTTCTTTTTTTTATTCAGCGGACTCTGGACTACACATTGGCAGATGCATGCTGCCCTCTTCTGGCTGGCTGAAGGCACCAAAGTCTGCCCCTTTGAAATAAAACCTGGTCATTTGGCTTGATTAAGCAATAGCACTTACTGAGACGTTTCCACTTACGAAGTGTACACATTAACCAATAAAGATGACAAATCATCACAGCAGGATACGTACTCAGAAGACCTTGCTTTCAGCCAGAAGTTTAACTAACTGGAATACGCTGTCTGTGTGTTAAGCTCCTACCAGCATCCAGCGTTTGTATCCGTCACAGCATACTGTTAAATCACAGATGCAGAGAGCATTTAAAAATACCCAGCGAGTCTTTTGGATGAGATGGTAAAACTATATCTCCCTTATGCTCAAAAATGGGTTTTTAATGTCTGTGGTTGTACGCAAGCTATTGACCGCACAACTGCCATTGTATTTGTCTACAAATCACTGCGCTACCAGTATCCAGCTCATTTGCTTTGTAATGTAGAATAAAAGTAATCTCTCTCTCCTCCTTAAGCACTCTTCTGAAGTATGCTTAGTCGCGTTTGATACAACATAAGCAATATGTAAACGAGTCTTTGCGAAGGCGGCTTTCTCTTTGAATCTCCATAAGAAATTTTTTTTGCAGGGACTTACCAATATCATACGCCATAAAATCTGAAGAAAAGCACTTTGCACCATGGCTCATCGATGTGTCGTTGTGTGTATTTCCTCCAAACACCAGCATGGTTCCACTCATTATCACAGCGGTGTGCAAATAGCGAAAAAATCTACTGTCTTTAAGAATTGTCCTTTGGAAATGAAGAAAAAAAAAAAAACAACTCTCTTAAGAAAGTGACTACAGCCTGACAAAGACAAAGCAATTTCTAAGATGGATGTAGTGGCAATCTATTTTAATTACTTTAAAATAAAATATGCACTGGCATGTCCCCAATCTGCTGTCTTCCCCCTATAATTTCACCCATCCCATTCATGGGACAAATGTAACCCATGTAATTCCACTGAAGCACCTGGTCCACGTGAAGGAGGTGTCCTCAGCTACTTCTATTTTTCATAAAACAACAAGGGTGAGAGCATGACTGGCTCCAACAGCAAAGGGAGACTGCCTGGGACAATTTGCTTTGGTTGGTATAAAAATCTTAAAACTAATCTAGAGGAGTCATTTAACTTGGATGCTGTCAGTCTCTCAGCCCAAGTAAACTATTTAGACAGAAGCTACAGGACCAATAATACAACCCAATGGTTTAATACATGAAAAATTGAACACTCTCCCTCCGTGGTCAAATTAGGGACAGCATTAAGCATAAGAGCCCCACCCTTGCATGAATCAGTGTGATGCATGGTGCGCGAACGCCCCAGCTAGAATTTCCCCCAAAGCTTGTAAAGGTTGTTGGCAGGAAGCAAATCGGATCGAATATGCATACCCTGGTTGCACGGCGTTGTGTCAAAGCTGCCAAGAACCAATTGTGTCTGTGGCTGGGACATTGCTAAAACTTAAACCTTCTGAATACAGTTCACTTAGAAGGAAAGATTTGTTCCTTCCTTTAAAGCAAGTTTTGGCAAGTAAACACAGAGCAGTGTTCACCAGTCCGAAGCTGGAATGGAAAGGCGAGTGCTACCATGCTTCAGGATCCCAGCCAAGAAGGATCTTTTGAGTGCTGCTCTGCTCCTAAAAGGCCAGGAGTAGTAAAAGTTGGAATACCTTGATCAGTTTAAGGAACCCCTTGTTTGACTCAAATTTGGTGGTGGAAGAGCGACGGCAGCATTGATTGTTGCTCCCCCGTGCTGAGTTTCCAGGCCCCTAGGGATTCCACAGTCTGGAAAATGCCAGTTCTTAACTTTTAGAGCAATTTTTTAGTTGCAAAAAAATCTCAGAAAGAACAGCTCAGCATGTTTTTGACACTGGATTCCTAGCTGAAATCTCTGGGTTTATTCTGTGAAGCCTGAACAGGTGCTTGCACACCAAACAGTAACATGGCATCCTGAATGAGAGTTACTGCTGTAAGTTTGCCAGCCAAACGGATTAGGGGGTTTGACCCCTCTCAACGCATAGGATAGATACAGCCCATAGAACCACATCACGTGGCCCACAGAGCTCCCCCTAGGTCCAAAAAATTGGTAGCAGGGGAGCAGAGGCTGTATTAATTGCTGCTCCCCTGTGCCAAATTTCCAGGTCCCTGGAAATCAAGTCACACAGGGCAATGTGTGCCTGTGCCGGGTGCGCAGGGGTGAGACAGGCCCCAGCCTGGCATGCAAGGCCAGGAGGAGGTGGCACAGGACCCAATCAAGGGGTGCAGAGCCTGATTTGGGCAAGTGGGGTGGGTGGGGGCAGCACGGGTTCAATCCTGCCTATGGACTAGCCCCATGCCACTCAGCCAGCCCACAGGACCAAAAGATTGAGCATCACTGAAAGAGAGCATGTAAACTGTTTAACCCCTTTTTAGCTGCCTTAAAAAAAAAAAAGATATCACAATTTCAAACTATGCAACGTAGAAAATGCATTTCCCTCAGCCACTCAACTCGACCACAAACGCTACTCTAACTCTCCAAACAGAAAGTTTCAGCTCAAGAGGTGAATGTCTCAATTATGGAGCCAGTTGAGAACAATTATAGTGGAAACTCTTCAATCTTTCCTACAGGACACATCATCACTCTCATTATAAACAATTCTCTCAGATGACTACTTTGTACTGAATGACAGAGGGAAAAATTAATATATGAAATTCATACATTAAAAAGGATTCTTGGCAACTTCATATACTTAATCATAAAAAAAACAGCAATTCCCCATTTGCAGGGGAACGCGAAAGCCAAAGGTAAATGTGTACACTACTCTGAGCTTAAGATAATACTGTATCAAAGGTCAATACTCTCGTTCTCTCCATACAAAAGTCACAAGGTGAAGAGAGACTTACCACATGCGCGTATCAACGTCATACTTGTATAAATCGTCTGCGAGCCTGTACTTGTTGGCGGTGAATGCCTTGTAGCCTCCATGGATGTAGATAGATCTGGTATTTGGATCGTAAACGCTGCTGTGGCCGTACCCTCCTTGCACCAAAGCTCCGCTGGTCTGTAAAACGCTCCAAGTATTCGTGGCTAAGGAGTGAAAGGACCTTGTGAGTGACGCTGCACATCCAATTCAGCTGCATTTAACACAGGGCAGCAGATCCAGCTGTGAAAATAAACAGGCCTTCCCACAACTCAAACCCCTGCATCTCCCATCGATCCCTTTCCCTCTCTTTAGAAGAAGGCTGAGCTGCTACTCCAAAAAATAGCCTCCTCAATGGGTAATTTAGTTACTGAGAGCTACTGTGCTGTTAAATTCTTTTAATTAGCCAGTGATCATTTCCTCCAATGGTCATTCATTAAACCTTGAAACTAACCCAAGCGCATGAGAAATAAAGCCCTAAAATTATCAGTCGCACGTCAACTATATCAAAACAGCAGATTGAACAATCTTCCTGAAAGTTTGGTACAGCAAAGGTGAAAGGGTGGAGAAGCCACTTGATATTTTCTTTTCAAAAGAAAGCAAGCCTGATAGCCTGCGTGGTTTCTTTGCTGTCACTTGAGACCCACAATCTAGTTAACGGCCCTGGTCCCTCAACGTGTGGAGTGGCAGGGTTTCTGGAAAGCCTGCACCAAAATAATGGAGCCTGACAGACGACTGCCTTACCCGAATCAACCTCTCACCAATTACGTCGCAACGGAAGCAGACGTTGAATGACATCTCATGCTGGCTTTTCAAAATAAGTGGCTAGGGGGAGAAGCGACTTTGACGGACATGCAAGGAAGTAATTAAAGAAAAGGACAGTAGGAGTCTGGGGGAAGTCATGGATAGGGGTATCATTAAGAGCTAAAAAGTCATTTCTGAGCTCCAATAACTGAATTTTCTGAAGGAGCGGTCTCTAGTGCTGAACTTCAGTCTATCTGCCCGAGGCATTTGTCCATGTGAGAAACCTATAAAAATAAGACATCTCTGAAGAATGAACCGTGTCTGTTGGCCTCTCCAAATCATTACCGCTCACAATAAAAGAAGGGATAAATAGAGGCCTCCACGTATCAGGATGCCTTGCACTGCTTGGATACTGAAAAGTTTTGGGCCCCTTCTGATGAAAAGAGTAGGACATCCAAGACACTGTATTTAGGTTGCTTCACAAGCGTTTTGCATGGTCTCAGAGGTCCGAGCAGCCCTGGATCCAGTATGCAGAGGGTACCAGGAGCACGGCATTTCTTTACAGATGCTCCAACATTTTATTGTTACAAATACTAGACATTAGATTCAAGTTCTAAAAACAATACGTGTTCAAATTAAAGACTAAATTCATCCCGGTTTGTGTATGGACTCCTGTCAACATTTTCGATTTCACTGTTCAGTCTGAAGAGTAAGAAAGACCATACCTACCAATATCATATTCCTGAACGTTGCTGATGTACCCATACAGCGGGCAGTGCCCAAAGATGATGAGCATAACCGCCTTGCCCCCTTCCAGCGTGACAATGTGGGCTGAGTGCCCAACGACTGCGTACTGTTCCTTTGCTTTGGGGATCACTTGAACCCAGGACTGATTGCGAATATGGAACACCAAGAGCTGATTGGTCACATTCCCTGTTGCATCCATTTTTCCTCCATACATATACATTTTGTTCTGGAAGAAATTGATTTAAAAAAAAAAAAAAGTTAAGACCTTCTGGCTCTTAAGTTACCATTAATATCAAAAGAACATATAGCTACTCCCAAAAAAATACCCACCACGTTGTGATACAGAATGCATTTTCCTCATCGGCGCACAGTAGATGCATGCTAAAAACTCCTGCTAATTGTAATGCACGCATTAAATGAGAAAAAAACCCTAAGCATTTGTGGAATAGCAGAACGCTTCAGTGATTTCAAATCAAAATTAACGAAGATACAGGAAAAAGAGAAACCACCTTCAGATGAATAAAACTATTCGATTGGTCCTGACCCTTCACCCTGACTAGCACTACAGTACTTTTACTACTGAACTACTAAAAAGCATACCTGTCCATCTCTTCCAGGCTGTCTTTCTGTACTTTGAAGCTTAAAGTACTAGCACTGAGGAAGGGGAAGAGGTACACTCTCCACAGTAAACCCCTCATAAGAAAAATAAAGAAATCAGTCACCAAGCAAGTAAAGATCCCCAAACGTGTAAAACACGTAGGATACCTTTACAAGATGATAAGTACAGGCAGTCCTCGGACTTACGACACAAGCAGTCCCTGAAAACCGCGTCTTAAGTCGAAACGTTGCAACTCGCAACCAATTTTCTCATAAGCAGCAATGTTATAAATGGGGGATTGGATCCTGAACCAAGGCCCGATACCCTATTTTCATCAAAAATACCCCAGAATTGTGTACTCAATCAATTATAGATGAGTAATATAGCTATATAGCTACATTAATGTATTTATATTGTAAATAGCAATCGTATTGATTTGGAAGGACTTCTTTCAGGTGACTTTGCTGGACTTTTTGAAGGGCTCTCAGTTGGACTTTCTGAAGGGTTCTTGGCTGGAGTCTTCTCGGGAGTCTTGGCTGCAGGTTGTTCGGGAGTCTTGGCTGCTTTCTTAAAGAAAGTGTCCAAGCAAGTTTGGACAGATGTTCTCCAGGGAGATGGGTGACACAGCGAACTTGTTCGCTGGCGTGGCGTCCCATCAGATCAAGCGTTGTAAAGTTGAAACTTATGTCACAAACTTGAAACAGGGTGTCAATTTATGGATGTTGTCAGTCGAGGACTGCCCGTCCTATTAAATTAGTCACTTACAAATGACGACTGGATGCGTTCGTTAGGTGTAACGCGTTCATTCCCACTTTGCATGCTACTGACAACACCTGTCCAGTACACATACCAAAAATAGGAACTTCTGACTTTCTGCTGGAGTGCTCATGCCACTCACATAAAGAAAAGCTGCAGAGCTTACAAATAACCCTGGTTCTTTGAGATGGATTTTCCATATATATTCCATTGTTGGGGTGCACAGAACTAGTTGGTTGCAAGGGATATCCAGGTCCGTCTAGTCCAATCCCCTGCAAGAATGTAGGATGTGCTATTCCTATGTCCCCACCCCATCCAATTCTTATCCAGCCTTTCCTTGAAAGTGTGTAGTGTGGCCTGGCAGGCTCATGGCTGGCCCTGGTGCAGCCCAAGTTGGACTGCTCAGACTTAATACATTAGAAGCAAGTGCTCAATTCAGCATCTGCTTGAATAAGGAACAAAACACGGCTCTTATGAAACAAGCATCTGACCGTGATGTTGCTACCAAGGAGCACGGTTTTGTGCCTTGACCCTGAAGTACCTGGCTCTACACATTTTTGCAAGGGGAACACTTCTTAAAGACACCAGACTCAGGGGCTGTGTCCAGACGAGCGCGGATGTGCTGTATGTGGCGCCGCAGACCCGTCTGCGGCGCCATGCATTGCGCATTCATGCGTTTCCCACGCTGTTACCTTGCAGGTTGGGGCAGGAGGAAGGGGTGGGAGGGGTGAACTTGGGATCTCCTGGGATCAAAATAACCCCCCGGTGCTGCAAGGTAAATAAATAAATAAATAAATAAAAGTGGGACAGCACAAGTGGCTGCAACACGTGCCACCCAAAACTGGAGCCTAGCCTGCTGAAGCCACACTCCAGCTACTGCCCAGTCTTCCAGTTGCAGGAGTATCGTGGATGCAGCTTCCCCTACCCCCAGATAAGGCTTCTGGGGCCAGCACAGTCGCTGGCCCCAGCCTCCCCTACCCCACCTGGGGTAACCTGCCACACACCAGAGCGCACAGGGCATGGGCATTCCCTGGGGACAAGCAGCAGCAGCACAAGGCATGCCACTGCTTTTTGTTCCCGGGAAACCAAATTCCCCCCTCGTCTGGATGCTGCCAGGCAGTTCAAGCCTTGACCTGACCCAGGGCATTAAGCTTGCCAATTAGTTACACGGGCCAATGAAACCTGAACGCCACTTTATCAAGGCCCGTCTAATTGATCCAGCCCTTGGCTCTCGACTGCAGAAGCAATTAGCAGCAAGGAGAAACCGTAACGGACTTTGTTTTATCCAAGTGCCCTGCCTATGTCTGAAGAATGGGGGTGCGGGGGAGAAGAGTACTCAATCCCCCTTCTCAGGAGCCAGGTTTAGGGGAAAAAAGACAAATCTAGTGTAGAGCTCCATTTGGACATGCAAGCTGAACCGGTGTTCAGAAACTTTCATTCATCCGTGTAGCCAACCTGCCTATCACAAAAACATGCCATATTTTTAACCATTGTGAGTCTTCCTATCAGACCTCTGGCCTATTTACTGCATCTACACTAAAATGCAACGATAGCCCACAGCGGTGGGTGGGAAAGGAGGATGACCCCTGAGAGGAGTGAGCTAGCATTCTCAGGCAGCAGCACGCAGTGGGATGCTAATCTAGAGCTTATTGGGACAGACATACGGAAGCATTGGAAGCAGCAATACTTTCTCTAAAGCTGGGTATACACAGGACGGGGCGGGGAATATGTAACAAAGTTCTAATTAACGCTAATAAATGCATCTACCTCATGCAATGCCAACGAATGACCGTATCTGATCTCCACAGCATTTACAGCATTGCTCAGGGAAAGCCACTCCTCAGTAACAAGGTTATATCTGCAGAGTGAGAATTGAAAATTAATAGATATTCAGCCCAACAAAGCTATTACCCATTCTTTCCAAGATGAAAAAATATTAATCAAAAATGTAGATTCAGTATGTAAGGATCTTAAAATCCTGGGAGACAGTGTTATACACATGGGTGTACAGACTCCTTCCCCCCACAAATTATGAATAAAATAGCCTGGCCTACAATCTAGCTTTGATAAATTCATTGCTTTATCGCACCTTGTATTACACATACTTCTTTACAAAAAACCAGGGAGTTGATACACTAACAGTGGATCTATGACAAATATATACTTCCTAAGATTTTACCCCATGGGGCAGAAAAACCTTAGACAACAGCTCACGGCAAATTCCAGAGTCTTAAAAAGGAAACTTATCATTTATAGCACACGTGCACTTTTTAATTATGCTTTCATCACTCAGCCATAAAAAGTCTCTCTAGACCCAAGCTGGCACAGAAGATAAAATGAAAGCAACCTCTCCCCTCCCCCCAAAAACATGCAGCGATTCCAGCTATGGGAACTCAACAAGCTTGCCCTGGCGTTAAATGAAATCAACTTCAGGAGGGGCTTTAATGAAGCCTAATGGCTTTTATTTATATACAAGTAACAGATGAGACAGAAAAAAGTTAACCAGCAACTATAAGCTGCAGTTGCTCTGCAAGTATGTGAATTTTCAATGTCCCTGAAAATTAGAAATCGGTAGTAATGGAGCAAATACTGCCCTGTGTTCAGAATGCATGACTGACTGAGGTTAATGGAAGCTGCTTCTGTGTATCCTAAGGCAGAATTTAGCTGTTTGCCTATATAACTGTTAGTCTGTAACGTTACCCCCTTTGAAAAGATAGTTTGAAAGCTTTCTATAGTGAATATTAGGGTGTTTTGTATAACAACTGTATAAGCACAGAGCAATCTTACATTGCTTTGAAGAGTGCACACACCACATCATCCTCGTTTTCTGTACCAGGAAATGAGGGTGTCAAATGCAAGTGATTTCAAGTCCTACAGGGAGCGAATGGCAGCGTTATGAACTGGATGGTGCTGAGATGAGGTCCATCAGAATCCAATCTGGTGGCCCATCCGCCAATTCACATGCTTTCTTTTTTTTAAATGCATCTCAAGCAACCATTCAGGTGTCAGTACAACTGCATTAAAACAGCCATAAGCTCAAGTCGTGCAGTTTAAAAAGGGGAAACTGCCATATAAGAAAATGAGTTTGTACAGATGGCTTCTGAGAGGATGCAGAACCATTTATGTTGAAGCGGGGAGGGCAGAACTCATTGGGCTTACACAGGAATATGTGGAGAGTGAGACAGTGGGATCAGGGAATGTAGGCCACAATGCTTACAGTAAGTTTACTGAGTGTCAGGAACCCCTCAAAAGGTTTTCCAAAATAAGCACCCTTCTCCACTCCCACAAAACATGCATTTGCAAGCTCATGTTTTAAGTACTTGGTTTGGTTGTGGGGACAGTTTTGTAGAATGATCTTTCCTAAAAATAATTCCTGAAATCTGCAGATATCTTAAAATCAGCAAAAAGACGACGCAGGTTGAGAGGTGGTGTTTATACTCACGCTGAAACCATCTGAGATTCAGAATGATTGAACACATAGCCTCCCACAATCCACATTATATTGTCATGGATTACTGTTTTGTGGGATGCTCTAGGAAGCTTTGGATTAGTGTATTCCTCACGGGTCCAAAATGACTGATTAGCTGGTACAGGAACTGCACAGCCAGGACCTGTTTGTGAGAAAGAAAAAATCTTAATAAAAGCGTTGTTAGGAATCATTATGCAAGTGACAACTTACGTTACATTGGACCAATTTTCTCAGATCTCGAGTGCCATAAACAGAATAAGGGAAACAGTATTTCTGATACCGGGGATTCGGTAAATACCAATCTTTCCTTGACATCAGTATTCAACTAGTGATCTACTAAAATGTTCATGGCCATGCCTCAAGCCTTAATGTTTAGTGTCATTAAATATGCCAAAAGACATTCTCACAAGTAGATTTGTTATCCTTGGTGCCCTTCCATTACTTATGAAAAAAAATGTACATGCTAAAGTATCATAGCACGAGACCAGCTCCAAGGTTTTCCATCACTATGGGTCAGGGAGGCCCAGGTGATGGAGACTCCTTGCCCTGCATCGAAGCTGACCTTGTGAAGGAACACCTTGAGAGGCTGGACACTTTCAAGTCAGCTGGCCCTGATGGTTTACACCCCAGGGTACTCAAGGACCTGGCAAGCATCATAGCTCAGCCCCTGGCACAGATCTTTGAGAACTCCTGGTGCTCTGGTGAAGTGCCCGAAGACTGGAAGAAGGCCAATGTGGTGCCTGTCTTCAAGAAAGGGAGGAAAGTAGATCTGGAAAACTACAGGCCCATCAGCCTGGCCTCTATCCTGGGGAAGGTCTTGGAAAAAGATTATCAAAGAGGCCATCCTTAACAGACTAGCTGACGGCAATATCCTGAGGCATACCCAGCATGGGTCTGTTGCAGGTAGGTCTTGCTTGACCAATCTCATTTCCTTTTATGACCAGGTGACCTATCACCTGGACAAGGGAGAAGAGATTGATGTTGTATTTCTTGACTTTAAAAAAGCCTTCGATCTGGTATCCCACGATCACCTCTTGGCAAAACTGGCTAACTGTGGCCTCGACCTCACCACGATCCGCTCGTTGGGGAATTGGCTCCGTGGTCGGATCCAGGGGGTGGTGGTTGACAGAAGTAAATCATCATGGTGCGCTGTGACCAGTGGGGTCCCTCAAGGCTCTGTCCTAGGGCCTATACTGTTTAACATCTTGATCAATGATGTGGACATTGGTGTCAGAAGCGGGCTGGCCAAGTCTGCTGACAAAACCAAACTCTGGGGTAAAGCATCCACACCTGAGGACAGGAGGGCGATCCAAACTGACCTCGACAGGCTCATGAAATGGGCAGACGAGACCCTGATGGTGTTCAACACTGAAAAATGCAAGGTTCTCCACCTTGGGTGGAAAAACCTGCAGCATGCGTATAGGCTCGGCAGTGCTACGCTGGTTAGCACTACAGACGAAAGGGACTTGGGGGTCATGATTGACCACAAGATGAACATGAGCCTTCAATGCGATGCTGCGGCTAGTAAAGCGACCAAAACGCTGGCTTGCATCCATAGATGCTTCTCAAGCAAATCCCAGGACGTCATTCTCCCCCTGTACTCGGCCTTGGTGAGGCCGCAGCTGGAGTACTGCGTCCAGTTTTGGGTTCCACAATTCAAGAAGGATGTGGAGAAGCTAGAGAGAGTGCAAAGGAGAGCCACGCGCATGATCAGAGGCCAGGAAAACAGCCCATATGATGAGAGGCTGAGAGCCATGGGACTCTTCAGCCTGGAAAAGTGCAGGCTCAGGGGTGACCTGGTAGCTGCCTATAAGTTTTCAGAGGTACTCATCAGGATCTGGGGGAACGTCTCTTCACCAGGGCGCCCCAAGGGATGACAAGATCGAACGGTCACAAATTCCGCCGTGACCGATTCAGGCTGGACATAAGGAAGAACTTTTTCACTGTCCGAGCCCCCAAGGTTTGGAATGGACTGCCACTGGAGGCGGTTCAAGCACCCACTTTGAATGCCTTCAAGGCACATTTGGATGCTTATCTTGCTGGGATCCTATGATCCCTGCTGACTTCCTGCCCATGGGACTCGATCCTCCAGGGTCCCTTCTAGCCCGAATGACTATGAAATCTATGAAATCAAGAAAAGTCTATTTGGGCATACAGAAGAAGGAAAATATTTGTAACAGGCAAATGTCTGCCATGTAATGCAATTTTCAGCTTACTAGCAGGTGCTTCCATCTAACCACAGAAGTCAAATGGAGAAAGGTATCCCCGTAACAAAAGCTTCTCCATCTTTATCAAGACACTTACCTTGCCAGTCTGAATAACAAGAACACACTCTGGTCCCATTCAAGTTGCAGTGACCTCTCTCAGGATATCCGCATTCATCCAGGCAGTAGGGAATATCACAAGCCTCTCCTTTCCAATGCTCCGAACATTCACATTCAACAGCATTGCTGCCGTTGTTGAGCCTGCACTCTCCTCGGCCAGAACAGTCGTTGGGGCACGCATTGAAACTGCAAACACGGGGGGAAGAATCACAGTCAGCGGTTTGACTAACTACCAGATACTGCCTTTTACTGGACAAAGGTAAGGGAGCTGGGAAACAAAATTAATACAGCTGCTGAACTGACTGTTCACCATGTTATAAAACTGTGTTAAGATCCTAGGATCTAAAGTTATGGGTCCATTCATGTTTCATACTCTAAGAAACATCTGTTAAGCAATTGCCTTTCCTACAGCTCTTCTAACTGATCTGCACCTTCATTCCTAACCTACGTGAACTGCTGAGAAAATGCGAGCGATGCAGCAGCTCTGCAGAATTCAGCAAACAAATGGTACTTTGCTAGGATTCCCCCAATAATTGATATGCACACGACAGACAAGTTAGGGGACGGTGAGGGGGGGTTGATTCTTTTAGGAATATTACTGCACCGTACTTGAAAGTTTTGCTTATCTGCCAGTCCCCGATTTACAATTTACAGATCTGCCTTGCTTAACTAGTTACACCTACAGCAATGTTTTTAAAAACCAAACGTATTTTGGTTATTAAAATCAGGATGGATAACAATCAATGATTTTTTTAATTAAAAATTGGATTTTTTTATTTAAATCGTTTTTTGATTGAATTGTATGTTTTGATTTTTTTAAGATTTTTTTTTAAACAAAGAATAAACCTCTATAAAGACAGTTTTAATTTAAGATATTTTAAAGCTCAAAGAGATCATCATGGACTAGAGATTATAACTTCTAATTATATACTATATGAGACAATATATTCATGTAACCTTTTTAGAAAAGTTTTATAACTAGGTCACAACAGGCCATGAACTATATTAGAGGCCCAATCTGATGGGGTTCCCAAAGGCTCCTCTATAGACTAGTAAAGATTAAAGAAAACCACTCTACCCAATGGGACTCGGTGCTCAGTCTAGAAAAGGGGTGGGCAATTATTTTGGGCAGAGGGCCGCTTAACTGAGTTTGGGGGCAAGCCATCAAGGGCCGCATGACAGGCAGCCAGGGGCAGATAAATACTAATTTTCTAAATTTTTGGGGGGCCCCATGGGTTGGACAGAACGGCCTGGTGGGCCGCATCCAGCCTGCGGGCCGCATTTTGCCCACCCCGGTCTAGAAGGTCCCTTTAAACATCTCTGTGCTTCTTAGTTTCAGATCTCAAACTGTGGATTTGTGTCTCCAGAGATAACATCCTTGTTAACAGTGGACATAGTAGGGCTCACTGAAAAACTTGGTGGGACCCAACGCACGACTAGGCAGTGAACATCAAGGGCGATAGGCTGTACAAGGAGGGACAGGACAGGAAGGAAAGGTGGGGGTGTGGCTCTCTACATCAAGGAGAAATGCACATCCTCAATGAGTAGCACAGGGGCAGACTGAAATGCTCTGGGTCTGAATACAAGGGGGTTGGGGGGAAAGACACTTAATGGTGGGGGTTTACTACAGACCACCCGACCAGGGGGAAGACCTGGACCGGGAATTCTCAGGTCAGCTCGTGGAGGTAGTCAAGTCAAGGGACATGGCCATTATGGGTGACCTAAACTATCCGGACATCTGCTGGGAAGAGCAGTCAGCCAGGTCTGACCACTCACGTAGGTTCCTAGCCGAGATACAGGACCTCCATCTAACCCAGGAGGTGCACAGCCCCACCAGGGGAGACGCCTTGTTGGACCTGGACCTGGTCCTGGCCAAGGGCGATGACCTGATGAGGGGTCTGCGGGTGCTCGACCACCTGGGCGACAGCGATCATCACCGGCTGGAATTCACCATTAGGTCCTGACAATCTCCACTCCAGAGTGCTGAGGGGATTAGCAGAGGTCATTGCGGGACCCCTGGCACGGCTTTACGAGCACTCATGGTGCTCTGGTGTAGTGCTGGAGGACTGGAAAAGGGCCAATGTGGTTCCCATTTTCAAAAAAGGGAGGAAGGAGGACCCAGGAAACTATAGGCCCATTAGTGTTACCTCGGTCCTAGAGAAGCTCTTTGAGAAAATTATCCAGGAGCACATCTGCGAGGGGGGATCATGCTTAGGGGCAACCAACACGGGTTCATTAGAGGCAGGTCCTGTCAGACCAACCTGGTGGCCTTCTATGACCAGGTCACAAAAGCCTTGGACACAGGTGTCGTGGTAGACATAGTCTTTCTGGACTTCAGGAAGGCGTTCGACACCGTCTCTCACCCCATTCTCGTTAAAAAACTAGGGGACTGTGGCGTCGACACCTACACAGTCAAATGGGTCACTAACTGGCTGGAGGACCGCACCCAGAGGGTGGTGGTGGACAGGTCCTATTCAACCTGGAGGGATGTGGGCAGTGGGGTCCCTCAGGGCTCGGTCCGAGGAGAGGAACAGGCTGCAACTGGATCTAGACAGGTTACAGGGATGGGCGGATGAGAACAGGATGGGTTTCAAAAGTGACAAGTGCAAGGTGCTGCACCTGGGAGAGGAAAACCCAGCAGCACACCTACAGGCTGGGGAACTCCCTTCTCGTCAGTGCAGAGGCAGAAAAGGATCTTGGAGTCATTATTGATTCCGAGATGAACATGGGCCACTGATGGGAGGACATGGTCAGTAAGGCTAACTACACCTTGTCATGCATCCAGAAATGCATCACGAGCAGGTCCAAGGAGGTGATCCTCCCCCTCTATGCGACATTGGTCAGGCTGCAGTTGGAGTACTGTGTCCAGTTCTGGGTGCCACACTTCAGGAGGGATGTGGACAGTATTGAGAGGATCCAGAGGAGGACCACTTGCATGGTCAGGGGGCAGCAGGGCAGGCCCTACGAGGAGAGGCTATGGGACCAGAACCTGTCTGGTGTCCGTCTATAAACTTACCAAGGGGGACCAGCGGGGAACAGGAGAGTCCCTGTTCTTCCGAGCACTGCCAGGAGTAACTAGGAATAACGGCCACAAGTTGACTGAGAGTAGATTCAGGCTAGACATCAGGAAGCACTACTTCACAGTCAGGGCGGCTAGGATCTGGAACCTACTTCCAAGGGAAGTGGTGCTTGCTCCTACCCCGGGGGGTCTTCAGAAGGAGGCTGGATAACCACCTAGCCGGGGTCATTTGACCCCAGCATCCTTTCCTGCCCATGGCAGGGGGGCGGACTTCATGATCTGCTCAGGTCCCTTCCGACCCGACCAACTACGAAACTATGAAACAGCAGTACAATATATAGAGATGAGTGATAACAGACCTGATTACGAGGGCTGTGCGAAACAGCAATGTTTCGTTTCCATTTTGGATTTGGCTGTTTCAGAGGGACAGTGATTTGTTTCGGTGTTTCAGACCACTAGGTGGCTGCAGGTTCCCCCACGGCTCCTCCAGCTGTGTCTGCCTCTCCCTGGGCAGGGGAAGCTGCAGGAGAAGCCCCCATGGCTACCCTGCATGGCCCCATCCCCTGCCTGGCCCTTTAAAAGGAGGGCTGCAGGGCTGTGCTGGACTCTTCCCGGGGGGTGCAGGCCCCCAGATCTGCATGTGGGACGACAGCAGGCTGCCGTCCCTCCCCCAGAGCACTGGGATTGGAAGAGACCTCAGGGGCAGATCGCTGTCACTGGCCAGCTACAGATGTCAATATCAGAGCAGTCCTTTCCCCCTCGCCACTTCCGAGCTTCTGTTTCCCTGCAAGCCCACCTCCGAAATGTTTCGAATGATTTAATTTCATTTCGGAGATATTTCGGAGCCTTCCGTTTCGTTTCAGATTCGGTGTTTCGGCCACCGAAACGCATCCAAAACGAAACGGCTTCCAAAATTTCTCACAGCCCTACTGATTACCTACCCATCAGCCCTCTTGTCTGTCTCAAGTTTGTGTGCACTGTCTGCAAGTTTGTGTGCACTCTCTCCAAAAGTGCAAAGTTTCAAGAAGTTAAATGAATAAAAGATATCAAACAAGAACGCACTTTTTGTAGAAAACAAGGATTAAATCAAGGTAGCTCCCTGACCAATAATTTAAAACATGGCTTAAATCAATTTGAGTTAAATCAAATCCCCCCTGGTTAAAATGAAAATTAGTTCCTCTAAACTTCCATCACAGTTAAAAATTTCATCCGCTACCATGAAGGCTTTGTGGTGTCTGTGTGATTTATGCACAAGAACTAGCCACAAACTCACTTTCCAAATGAACACCTTATCAAATACAAACTGAAATCCCAGCCACATGCCTCTGAATCACGGTGTACATGGCACTGAACTGGAATGAACAGTGGCAGAAATGGTCCTACGGCACAAAGCCACATCACGTCTCTGTCACAAATTTAAATTCAGAAGCCTCGCTCTTTATCAAATCATGGATACTTGACATTGTGCTCAGCCATTTCAATCACCGCATAATACCCCTGTTGTCCTGCCAGAGGTGAAAACAAAAGCACCAAGACTGAATCAAATCAAAGGGGCTCACTCTTCATTACAGTCCTATCAGAGCAAACTTCAGCTCCACTTTGAATTCAGGCTCCAGTAGCAATGCCCAGAGCTCGCTACAATCCAAGCTAGTTTGGGAAAATAAAAAGATCCAGGTATCCAGGCTGTATTGGTCTAGAGGCAAAAGGAATCAAAACTCGTGGCAGAGGTGATATCTTTTATTAGACCAACTAGATATTTGCAAAAAAAAAAAGAAAGAAAGAAAGAAATACACACTCCATAACACCTGCAAATTGAGTGGCACCCAATTAAAAAAATTAATGTATATATGACCGTACTTACCTCCTTGCAGAGGGGCTGGGCAGTGGGGGCTCATTCAGGCAAGGACAAGCCTAAGCCTGTGCTTATCTACTTATCTCCTCACACCTTGGGGTACCCTTCAAAGGTTCTAGCAAGACCTCAGGACACCTCGGCACCCTGGTTGAGAATCGCAGTGCTAAGGACATGTTAGGGGAGAGACTATCATCCAAAACTCAAAGTTACAGAAAACTCCAAACAAAATTGTATGCCGACCTCTTGAAACGAAGGAACATGTCGGCTTAGAGAAAACTGAAAATGACAATGTAATACACCAACTTCCTGTCTATTTTCTTTGAAGGACAGGTAACTCGAGTCCCAAATTCTTCAGGGCACTGTCGAAGTGCAATACTGGCAGCTGCCAGGAGATGGTGTCATGGCTTCTGGTAACAGAGCAACCGACATTTTCAAAACTAGATGCTTAAAAGTCAGGCTGGTAAATAAATTCGGGCTTGATTTTTGAGGATGCCAAGAGCCACTCAAGTCAACGGGAGCTGCAGGATTCTCAGCACCCTGTCAGGTGTCAGACCACATAGTTAGGTACCTAAATACAAATTAGGAAGCAAGTTTTAGGCACCGAACACGAGCAATCATAGCTAAGGGAAGAGGTGTCCAGAAGAAAAAAAATGTCCAAGGAAGTCCAGCAAAAATCACGAGTGCATGCAGAGATATAGACTGGTGCCAGCTACAACTTTTTGAATTAGTAGCATTCCCTCTGGAATTATATTTTTCTCTTTTCAAAAAAGCCCAGCCTAATGTAGGCAGATTGCACAGAAGGCATTTAACATGTGTATCCACTTACAAGATTACACAGGAGAGAGTCTTTTCCCATGGATTACACAAACAGTTACTCACAACTGAATTTCTTCAGTAAACCAACATTAAAGGTTACAAAGAATTAAAAACTCCTGCCTCTGAAAGAGGAAATAATCCTACTGAACCACTTAAAATCTGCTTCTTATCTGCAATAAAAATCTGAGACTCCTATGCCCACAAAGGCAAGAAATTCAATTAACTGCGAGGCCAATGCACACCTGCGCTGCTCGGTACATCTTGGGATCTTTTACTCAAGACTTTAAAAGTAACATTCTGCAAATAGTTAACTCATTAGGGAAGAGTCTCCAGCTTTTTTCTTTTTTTTTTTTTTTTTTAAACGTCCAGCATTGTGTATAAAAGACGAAGTAGCAAACGCCTAGACAGAACCAATAGCTAAAACTCGGTTAAAGTCGTACACAAAAAGTGAAGTGTTTCTAATCTAGAGGAACAGCTTGGTAATCTACTATCAAACTGAAATTTAAAAGGCTTGAAAAAATAAAACAGCTGTGAGACCAGGCACATTTTAGGGGCATCGCTATAATATGCTTAGTCCTCATAATGGAAAGAAAAAGCTTGTTCTTATGTAGTGGTGTGGGAAGGAGAAAAGGCAAGAGGATATATACTTATCCCATTAGGCATATATGGGATCAATTTTGGTTGACTGGTTATAATCAAACAAATTTAACATTTGCTCAGAAAAGTCACTGTATTACTCATGCTGCATTTACCCAGGCTTACAATGAGCCTCTGAAAATAATGCCAGCCACAGAACAAAGACAAATTACAGAAATTGGGAGTGTTAGTTCGTGTCATGGTCTCCCATTTTATCCAAGTAAGCTATTCTTTAACCTAAAATACTAAAAAGCTCTTTAAAGAAAAGCTCACATCAGAATATTTGCTCTCTCTAAATTGCAATGCAGAGGTAATGATATAATAAAATCAAAATCAAATTCCTTATTAAAATGTTACATGTTACAAAGGCTGCTGCATCTACCAAGAAACTGAGGCTGGTCTCTCCATATGCAGCATTTAAATTTCCTAAAAGGAGTCTGGAAGATGCCGTACTTACTTGTATGTGATATTAAAACCTGTCAAATTATAGGCAGCATCACTAAAGAAGTGCAGCAAGACGTAGCCAGAAGTGGCTACAACTTCTGGGACGGTTTCATTGCCATCCTTCTCAGGAACAATAAGACCGCTGAAAGAGAAAGACAGCGTTTCACATTAATCATGTACAGTTCTGGGCTCCTCAATATGGTGCATTTATTATATACACATTTCAGGGGTATGTGTAAAACAACTGAAATTGAGGATACAAACAAGATGATCTTGCCCAGGGGTGGGTAAAATATGGCATGCAGACTGTACCCAACTTGCCAACTGATCTTATTTGGCCCACCAGCCTCCACCAGGAGCCTGGGGAGGGAAGGCTGCATCTCGCAGCATGCCACTGCGCTCTGCCGCAGCTGGGGCTGGGCCAGGCCACGCAGACTCCTCTCCCCCCCCGGCCGCTCAGCTTCCTGTTGGTGATGTAGCTGCACAGTCCTGACATCGTGGCCGTGGGCACCCACGTCTGCACAGGACGGGGCGCGATGCAGTGCACCAAGTAGCAATCCCACCCACCCAACTGCTGCAATGCACCGCTGACGCTGCGGTGCAACTAGGGGGTGAGCCCATGCCAGCCGCCCCCAACTTTCCTGGTGCGGTGCGGTGCAGCAGCAGGGGCTCGTCGTGACATGCAGGTGGGACAGCTACTTGGCGCGCTGCACTGCTCCCCATCCTGTGCAGGCCTGGCTGCCGGTGGCCAGTGTCAGGACCGCGCAATGCCAATAGAAAGTGGGGCAGGTGGGGGGAATAGATGGTGGAGATGGGAGTGGGGGTCCACGTGCTGCACGGTCCAGCCCCAGCCCCAGCCGCAGCAGAGCGGATCAGCGTGGGGCACAGCCCTCCCTTGTCAGAAGTGGTCAGTGGGCCAGATAGTTTCAATTGACATCTCCCTGTCCCCCCATCCTAGCCTTCAATAGTTCACCAAACTCGTTAAGTGACCCTCCAGGCCAAATAACTGCCTACCCCTGACTTTAACCATCATTTATATGTTACTCATTTACATCATTAAAGATTTCCTGTAACAATACGAGCAGATTTAGTCTTTTGTCAAAGAAAAAAAACCCTTAAAACAGTGACGCTCAATCTCCAGCCCAGTGCTCCCCAAGGGTCTGAAAATTTGGAAGTGGAGGGGTGGTGGCAGCATTAATTGCTGCAGCCTCCAGAAACATCCTATAGGGAGCCGTACAGGCCGGATGACGTGGCCTCACATGCCAGATAGCACCGGTGCGCAGAGCCACTCCATGGCCAGATCCGGTACGTGGGGCTGGACCAGCACGCAGGATCACACCCACGGACCGACCCCACACCATTCATCTGGCTCTCGGGGTAGGAAGGTTGAGCACCACCACCTTAAAACACTGTGAGGAAGAGAAAATAATATACACTGTCTGTTCCAAAACCTGTGTATTCTCAAAGACGCGTGAAGCTACATGAAACAGGCACTAAGATGACATCCGATTCTTTAAAAACGAGGTAATTCAGTAAAGCAACTAATTTAATATATTGTGAGATAAATACACAATTTAAGCTGGGACTTCATAAAAGCTCTGCTTACATAAAAGCATTATTAATTTTTCCATCTTTAACTACCTTAATACAAATTGAAAACTATGTAGGGGGAAAAAAAACAAAAAGGGAAAATTTGAAACAGCCCACTGAGCAATAAGGATTTTTTTTTTGCATGTTCACACACATACTTGCCAGACTATACATGCACTACATAAATACATACATAAGCATGGACTTGGCTTGAGTAAAGCAAAATCTGTCTTCAGAGACAATTTTTCAATATTAAAAGATTCCTACACATGTGCACCTGCTCCAACACGCTGGAAATCCAGAGTATCAGACCAGAGTCGATTAATCGAGTCGGCTGGAGCCTGGAAACTGCATGCCCCAGCAGCCTCATATGTCACGTGCATCTGCACTGATAAAATGGTGACGGTGCGCTTCGAGATAAAATGCGTCCGATACGCTTTACTTCAAAGCACCCCGCCACCTTTTTTTCAGTGTAGGAATGCATGGCGACACCGATGCACATGACACACAGGCATTTTTCATTAGCACGGCTCGCTAATTAAAGTGCCCGGTGCCGCACCAGAAACGCATCTAAAAATGCCCTTAGTTTCCCTTTTTTTTTTTTTTTCCCGCCCCCCCGGTTTGGACTACAGAAAAATTATAGAGCGATTCTTCTGTTGCAAAGAATTCAGAAAAACCACAACAGGGAAGAGTGTTTTTGACCCAATAATTTCTCTTTGAAATTTCTGGGCGCATCTCATGCAGCACGTTTGCACACTTAACAGTGCTAACATGATGCGGCACCCTACAGCATCCTTGAAAGGATCTCAAAGCACCCTGGTCGAGGATCACCGCCCAAGATACCGCCCAATTAAAGTGATCTTTGCTATGTGAAGTGAAGCATTTTTTCTTCTAAGTTTGACAATAAGAAGAAAACCTGTTAACACTTCACAACACCTCTGCCAATACTGAAGTAGGCAGTAGCCTACAAAAGTTCATGCCTCTCTGAGCAAGTTAGTCCAGTGGTGCCCAAACCCGCTGGCTGAATCTGGGTGTGCAGGGCCCTGTTATCCAGTCCAGGGGCTCCCCATGAGTCTGGCAATTTGACATCAGAGAAGTGGGAGTTAACACTGCCACAAATCCCCACTGCCAAATTTCCAGACATTTGGAGACCCCTGCAAGTTGGGTAACATGGCTCCATGGGCTGGATCTTGCCTACAGGGCAGGGGTTGAGCAGCCCGCAGTTAGTCTATAGAAGGTGATGGCCTTCCCTTCCTTCTGGCAAAGACCAACCTAAGACACTTATTTGGTAGGCTGAAATTTTGCAAATCTAAATGCAAATCTTTATTTAATAAAGAGTTGTTTTTAATGTCAAAATTGACCAATAAGACAGGTTTATTTAACAGCGAACTTTCCATGTCTATGAGAAGAACTCTGCCCCTGGGTCTCCCTCCTCTTTCCAGAGAGATTTGATCAGTAGCTGGATCCAATTTAAGTTATAAAGGATTCATTCTCCCCTCAAGACTATGATTGATGGAGAGAATGGTTTTAAGGGGAGGCCATATGCAGCTGTTCTGTATTCAGGTATGCACCCCAGGACAAATCAACCACTCTGCAGGCTTCTTGTAAAAATAGCCAACGGGCTTGGCTTCTTATCCTGCAACGCCTATGTATCCAACGGCAAGACTGACAAAAAGACAAGGCTGAAAAAGGAAACTATCCTTAGATCAAAGTAACATAATCCCAATTATATCCATACAATCTCAGTGCTCACAACAGTACTTTTTTTTTCAATTAACTGTAATATTAAAGAATATTATTTAGCTTTAATATTAAACAGTTACCTGTTCTAACAGGCCAGGGTCACAGCACACCCTTACTTTCCATTTCTGAAAATATTCACTGCAGAAGTTATGTAGCTTTTGCCATGCTTTTTTTACATGCATATATTTTGGCCATAATATGGTAATTCTGTTAAACATGACAGCCTCTTTTGTATCACTACCAAGGGGTATAAAAATTACATGTTCACTGCATAGCATGCCACAAAAGCAGCCTCCTCTCGCCCACTGACTAGATGGCACACATGCTGTTATGTCCACAGACAGAGTTTCTTACAAGAAATTTTTGCAAAAGCCAGATTAAATGTTTTGCCCCAGATACCCGAGATGTTAGAAAATAGCATCAACTGAACTGCTATTTTCCTTCATTTATTAATGCATTAGAAAGTTTTGAGTTCTATTTTCAGGGTTAAAACTAAGAATCTGAAACTTGAAGTACTATTCATTGATGTAATTGCAAGGAACCTAATGAATCTATGAATCTAATAAATAGTTTTTTGGGTTTTTTGGACAGGGCAGGGAGAAAACAGCTCCTTACTATAACATTCACACTGGAACAGCATGTCTCTTCCTTATGAAAAAGTATATCCGAATGCAGTTCAGGGTGGAGAAAATTGTAGTTCACGGATGGGAGGGGATGCTGTTTGTGGCTTCTCTTATTCTTCTGCCATGTGCTATTGGCATTGCCTCACAACCAGAACAGTGCTGGAAAGAGTCGAGGACGGTAAGGATGGATAGGCAAGAAAAGTGCAGTAATAAGAGAGGAGAAAGGGGTAGAAGAGAAGAGAATGAATAGGAAGAAATAAGGAAGGGTTTAGCAAGAGAGATAAAGTTATTGAAAACTTCCCTGTGCCTGAAGAAGGGTGTTTGTGTCCAAAAGCTTGCAAAGAACATTTTTTCCAACTATTCTGTTGGTCTAATAAGAGATATCACATTTACTCCAAGAACCGCATCTGCCCAAGACGAAACAAGCATCTTTCATGCTTTGGAGGGCCGTGTTTCAAATTGGTTTTGGAAACGGTCAGACTGAACGATCAAGAGACTGGAGCGTCTCTCTTGGGAAAGGAGAGCAAAGGATCTCGGCTTATTTAGCCCAGCTAAAACAAAAGAATACAATTCCTCTCTATAAAAACATCTTCGGGTAAAGACAAGGGAGAGAGAAGAACAATTTAAATTAAAGGCTAGCCCCAAGTACAAGCAGGTAAAATGCTCGCCATGAATGGATATATGCCAGATATAATGAGGAAGTCTCTGACCACAGAGGACAGATTTTCTGGGTCAGCTTTCCAAAATGTTTCTTGTCCCTTAACTGATTAACAAACAGACTGATAAAGGTGTGCGTCTTTGGCATGGTTTCAGGGGACAAGACTGAATGGTCCAGAAGTCCCCTTCGGTCCCTTGTCCCTCTCTACCACTCCGCACACCTGCGGCACCGTACGTGCTGTTATTCCTCACTTCCCATGGCGCTCGCAGCTGGTCATGTCTTTCAAACTATTTATCTTCATTTTCTTTGAAAGTTACTGGCATACAGGACTTTTCATGTGTGTTGGTAATGGGTCACGAGCTTCAAGCAAAGGAGAAGAGAATCGCAGAAAAAACAGGCCGTCCTGATGTCAGCAAGTGACCACTTTTCTTACCAAAATCCCCAAGGGAGGTTTATGAATCTGCATTTGCAGCCAGATCACCAAATAATCTGCTGGGGGATGGATGGGACACACAAGTGAGCCAGATA